AAATCGACTGCGGCGGATTTTCTGTCACTTTAAAAAACACAGCTCGCAATCCATCACGTGTTTTATCAATTGCCGAATTCACGATCGCTTTCACCCGTTACACAGAAGTCATCTGCACTGTTTTTCCTCACAGGAGACGCGAGCTCATCGATTATCTCGCGATAGTCGCCAAACTCGCGTTATCATATGGCGGCTCTCACTTTTACACCTTCCACAAATTATTCGCAGCTAAATGCGCCATCCGAGTGGCCCAGTGGAACCAATGTCCTTACTGGGGGGCTTTGGACACCGAACTCCAAAATAGAGTATTTTTAGGCTGCTGCAACATATCTTGCGCGGTCTGTCGATCCGTCCGTCACCCACTCCACCATTACATGCCCTCTAATCAACCCATCTATTCCCTCCTGCCCCGAGCCATCCCAGCCCAAATCCACCAGCTATGTCCCGCATCTCCTAGACATCCCAACCACCCCTTTCCTGGATTGTCTACTATCGGGTCTCTCACATGGCTTTCACCCCAGTGTCGAAAAACTCCCCTCCCTAAGCCTTATCTGCCCCAATTTCCAGTCCGCTCTCACTGAACCTGAAACAGTCGATCTCCTAATTAAAAAAGAAACCAACGCAAACTTCATGTTCGGCCCCTTTTCTGTCCCTCCCTTTAATGTTTTCCGTGTTAGCCCCATCGGTGTAGCTACCAGGAAATTCTCAGGTAAAAGACGTCTCATAATTTATCTCTCATCCCCGCATAATTCCCGGTTCCCAAGCGTTAACAGCCTCATTCCACTTGAAAGAATATTCTCTCCACTACCATGACATTGACCAAGCCATTACCCTGATCAAAAACGCGGGTCGCGGCGCTTGGCTGGCCAAAATCAACATCACCTCTGCCTTTAAAGTGATGCCCATTCACCCGGATTTTTGGCATTTATTTTCTGCTGGCATAATACATTTTACTTTTCCGTTCGCCTCACCTTCGGCTGCAGAAGCAGCCCTAAAATTTTCAACATGTTGTCAGAGGCAATCTGCTGGATCCTCTCCAACAATTATGCAATACCCTACCTGATCCATCTTTTAGATGATTTCTTAATCATCTCGCCTCCATCCCAGCCGCGCATGTTTTGACAACCCAAAAGGTTTTTGCAGAGCTCGGGATTCCTCTCGCCCAAGACAAAACCGCGGGCCCGAGCACCTCCATCAAATTTTTGGGTATCAACTTAAGATTCACAAAAATTCCAGGCTTCTCTGCCGAAGGAAAAAATTGATAGGACGATCTTGGTCGCTTCCACCCTCTTAGACAATCCAAGCTGCTCCAAATGCGAGCTGCTATCCATTCTTGGTCATCTAAATTTCGCGATGCGCATCATCCCGCAGGGCCGCCCTTTCATCTCATCTCTCTCGCGTCCTCCGCCCACGCACTAGAGGATCGAATATCACTAACCGACTCGTGCTGCAATGAGCTCAGCTTAGGCCATTCCATTGTTCAAGAAAGAATATCCATATCTTTCTTTTATAATAACTTAATTTCTTCTCCCATCAACATTTAGTTATTTACTGACGCCGCCCCCTCCGTCGGTTTCGGAGGATTTTACCAAGGCCGCTGGTTTGCATCTATGTGGCCACCACAGCAGCTAAAATCCTCAGCTCTGTTCAAGCTATATCCCTTAGTCGTCGCAGCCCTTCTGTGGGGTAAGGAATGGTCCGCCACCAGCATCATTATCCACTGCGACAAACGAGGCTACCGTGCACTGCATCAATAAAGGCCGTTCCCATTCACCCACCCTAATGCCTTTAAGTGGAATCCAATTTTTCCACAAAAGAGCCCATCCCACCCGCTTAGACACCAGGCAACCCATAACCTTACAAATATTGACCAAATGTAGTTCTACCCTCCGCAGAGGTTATCTGCGGTGGCTTTCTTCGGTTATTTTAGATGCTCTGAGCTTGCTATCACATCTAGCTTCAATCCATACATCCACCCCACTATCTCCGATCTAGCGGTGCTGGATGACGAAACCATCTCTTACTTCATTAAGCAAAGTAAAACAGACCAGACCAAGAAAGGCCATTACATTTTTATTTTCAACTTACAATCACCCATACTACCATACCAAGCCCTCCTAGCCTTTGTCCAGCTCAGGAAATCACAGTCCAAACTCCCATCAGACCCCCTTTTCACAGATGACTCCAACCGCCCTGTCACTCGTTTCTGATTTCAAAAGTACCTTAAATCCATTCTACTCCTATCCGGTACCCCAGCTGATAATTTTCCCAGCCATTCATTCCGAATTGGCGCAGCAACCACAGCGGCCCAAAAAGGCCTCTCCCAGCAGCAGATACAAGCACTCGGTCACTGGTCGTCAGAAGCTTTCAAGAGCTACATTCGATCGGACCGCTCCCACATCAAGAAAGCCAAACCCTCATCGGCCAACCCCTTTGACGTCAGTATAGCCCCAGTCACTCAAACTTCAGACCCACCATAGTTGACCCCCTTTTTTCATCACCTAATCCATTTATAACGACCCATCCCCACTCCAGCCATCCCAGCAGTGCCCGCTCCCGCAGGAGATTTTCCATATTTCCCCACTGCCACAGCAGTTCCCGCTCCCGCAGGAGCTTTTCCATATTTCCCCACTGCCGCAGCAGTTCCCGCAGGAGCTTTTTCATATTTCCCCTCCACCGCAGCAGCTTTTTCATATTTCCCCACTGCCGCAGCAGTTCCTGCTCCCGCAGGAGCCATTATCTGTATTTTACACTGCCGTAGCAGCGCTTGCTTCCGCAGAAGCCATTTTTCTTTTCAGATGCCACAGCAGCGCTCGCTTCCGCAGAAGCCATTTTTCTTTTCAGATGCCGTAGCAGTTCCCGCTCCCACAGGAGCTTTTCCGTATTTCCCCACTGAGCAGTTCCCGCTCCCGCAGAGGCTTTTCCATGTTTCCCCTCCGCCGCTTTTCCATATTTCCCCACTGCCGCAGCAGCTCCCGCTCCCGCTGGAGCCATTATCTGTATTTTATACTGCCGCAGCAGTGCTTGCTTCCGCAGAAGCCATTTTCTCTTTTCAGATGCCGTAGCAGTTCCCACTCCCACAGGAGTTTTTTCTTTTTCAGATGCCACAGCAGCGCTCGCTTCCGCAGAAGCCATTTTTCTTTTCAGATGCCGTAGCAGTTCCCACTCCCACAGGAGTTTTTTCTTTTTCAGATGCCACAGCAGCGCTCGCTTCCGCAGAAGCCATTTTTCTTTTCAGATGCCGTAGCAGTTCCCACTCCCACAGGAGTTTTT